ATCAGTGGTCCACTCTGGCCTCCAATCGGGAGACGTGGAGACACACCATCCATAACGCTGCTGCCTCCTTTGAGAACACACAGAGAATTAGTCTTGAGGAGAAAAGACAAGGCAGAAAGAACCGTGCCTCACCAATATCGCCTAAGGAGACTTTCCACTGTGCCTTTTGCAGCCGGACTTGCCTATCCCGCATCGGCCTTTTTAGCCATCAGCGCGCTTGTAGCACGTGTGGGTAGAGCCCTTCCCATGTCTTCGTTCTCGAAGTCCAGCCATGATGATGATGAAGTCAGTTGTGTGAAAAAATTTAACGAGACCATTTTTAAGCCCCTACATTTGTAATTCTGAATTACGCAGACATCTGAAACCAGTATTCAATACACCTTAAGAATCCCAAGCACTTCTTATAAAACTATATAAAATAAAAACTAAGTATCTGTTGCTTGGAGTTCATTCAAAATGCTGAACTTAAATTTATCACTCATTCCTTTTCTAGAGTTCAAAGCACAAACATACCTTTACTATAAAACAATGTATGTACTTTACCTAGGGACAGGTATCTTCAAGTAAGAAAAAAGAGAAGTATTTCACTCATAAAAGATAAATTTATGATTTCAGATATGATTTTTATATTAAAATTCTTGTATGTGTAACTGCTATTACAGAATAATTTTAAGACACCCCTTGATACATACCAACGTAAAAATCACCATCCAGTCCTGTAAAATTGTACCAAACTGGCTTAAGTTTTAAACCTGTTCAGTGCTAACAGTCAAGAGCTGGGACTTGATGGTCAACTGACCTTCAGCACACAGAGATTAAAAAAAATATGTGCATTATTGTTTTTATTATTCTCAGTCAGCAAGTTCTCTGAAGTCCTTCAATAACTAAATCCGTGTGTTACGTCACTGGTTCTATTTTGTCGATTTCTTCCTTCTTGGGACCTTCCTCTCGATTTTTGCCCTGTTGCATGGTGTACACCGATGGGCCCATCCTTAGGATCTTCCCACTGCCCAAGCACTCATCACCCTTGTAGAACACGGCAAACTAGGGGATAAACACAATCAGCAGCTGCGAACGGCACAGTGAGCAACTCCAGGTCGTGCGAGACCTGCTGGACAGTGAGCATTTTCATTTATACTTGGTCTGACTAAATCCGAAAAACTAAAGAAGTACACAAAGGATTTGTTGGGTCATATGAGTGTAAATACAAAAAGGTTGGTAGAAATTCCATCATGAGCTTCTGCAAGTTTATCTCAAAATTCTACAGTTACTGAGGTGGAATGGATCATGCTGGCAAGCTTCCTCTCCCAAAGCAGATGACTTAACGTCATGTGCATCTTCGCTGGGCCTTCCCCAGACAACTGTGCCCAGGCTATTGTGGTACTTCTCAAAATAGGGAGAGGACCAAGGGCTACTGGAGCAGACCACGTGGAAGGAAGCGACTGGGGCTCCCTGACGTGCTCAGCAGGGTCCTGCAGGAGAGGAGAAGCACAGACCTCCTGGCCTTGTCTCATTACCTTGCAGTAAAGAGCCTGGTTACCCGACCAGCAGCTCCTGGCAGTCAGGGGCTTCTCATGCCAAGTTATCATCAGCTCCGTCTAAAGATGGGGAGGAACTTCTTTACTCTGAACACTGGAACAGGCTGCACAGAGACGTGATGGAGCCTCCGTTTCTGGAGACTTTCAAAACTCGCCTGGATGCCATCCCATGCAAGCTGCTCTAGGTAATCCTGCTCTGGCAGGGGAAGTTGGACAAAATATTCTCCATAGGTCCCTTCCAATCCCTACCATTCTGTGATTCTGTGAGTCTTCTCAGCTCTTCTCACTTCTTTTAAGCATTTCCCTCTTTCTGTTACAACACTTTTCACACAATTTCCCTCCTGATGTGTCCCACAGGCCCTTGAGTTCTGGGGAGAGAGGGAGCGCAGAACGTGTGCTGGGAGAGGGCACGCTGAAAATGCTTGAGAACTGCTGCTTTAGGATGTGATGGATTATCTTTACCACTACACAGTGCCTCTCCTCAGTACTGTTCACTGGACACTCACTCAATAAATCTGAACACTAAAACCATACTAAGCAGACATGCCTTTTTTAAAAATCTGTTTCTTGAAGACAACAAGAGATTCCAATTCTGCACGTATAATTGAGTATCAGAGATATTTTCATGTTTTTCTAAAACTAGTAAGCCAGCTTCTTAGGTTACACGAACAATAGACCATTTAAAACTAGAATCTCCTTCTAAACAGCTGACAAATAGTCAAAACAGAGCTAACTACTCTCACATGCAAATAAATTAACTATTTTGCTCCAGCTAATAAAACACTGCTCTGTTTCATTAGCCAGATAAGCCAAAATAAAAAAAGGAAAAGAAACTCACTTCTAATAACTTACCTGGCCAGGTGTGATAGCTCTTGCTGGCTTCACTAGTGTCACCCACACGCTCCCATCTTGGTTTAGAGTCAGCACACAGGGCACTGGAGCAAAAAATGGCCAAACACCTTCCAGTTAATACATTCACATTAAAACAGAAAAAACTTTCATCACTAGGTTAAACAGGTGCAAGTCACGATACTGCTACACAGAACTGTTTCATAAAGACACGACAGAAACAGAAAGGTAAAACAAGTCATTTCGACTATTTCTGCAAAACTACACTGAGCAGCTACCGCAGATTCACCAGCTGAGTAAAACAACAACAAAACAAAACAAGGTTTGATTACCCAGTGCCATCTGGTGCCGAAACCTGAAATGACATTCCATCATCTTCTCTCTAACGAGCTCTGCAGGAGGCTCCTCTGCTATCCAGTGCACTCGGTTGGTCCGCAGCAGGTCTCTGTACAGCGCCGGGTGATCTGTCGACGGTGCCTTAAAATACGACGTTTATTTAAGGCTGATGTTTTTGCCAGAGAGCGTGTAACTTGTAAAACATGAAATATAGAAGAAGCATCAAGCCGTATCAAAATGAGTAAGATAACAAGGATTTATTAGCACTTAATCAGCTTCCAGGTGGAATCCTTTAATGAAAAAATAGGCTAAAGCAAGCCTGAATTATCTGTCAGTCTCCTACATCTCACAGGCATGTCACTTCTTGTATTCTTTTTCCTCCCATCCTATTTCTGCCTTCTTCAGGCTGAGTTCAGGCACCTACTGCCCTCCTTACCTACCTCAACAAGATGCCTCCTCCCTTGTCTCCCAATATCTCAACACAATAACTCCTTAACAAAGGCACTGCACACACACAACCTTACTGCTGAGCGTAAAACAAAAATTCTTAGTGGTCCTGCTTGTTTCCTCTGAATTCTCATTCGATTTCTTCACCCTGGGCACATCACTAAGTAAAAGAACGCCTCGTTATAATTGCATCAGTATCAACTAAGAATAAAAACAGCCATGCTGTTCATGCAGTTGGTATTGCTGAATGCCAGCAAGCTGTACAACTCCCAGTCACCTCATGATTAGTCATTAACATTTATTTGCAGTATTATATATATTCTGCCTCAGTTTTCAAAACGATAAAACTGTATTACAGGCTACTGCTTCAATTACTAGAAAACAAAATTAGCAATACCTAGTAAACACATTTTATATGCTATGTCATAAGACCTACAATTAAAAAACCTCAGGTTTTAGAGTAGAAAATAAGAGCTCGGTAGAACAACTGATGCTTTTCAGTATTTGCCCTTTGTTTGGGAAAGCTCTTTGCCAAAATCTAACCCAAATTTGTACTCTAGAAAAGCCAGTCTGGACAAGATGTTTCAAATCTGCTGACACTGAACTAGTTGGTTCTTGTTTCCCCCAAGAGGAAAGCCAGGAATTCTGCCCAGGTTAGAATCGCATTCCATACAGGAGAAGTCATTTGCAACATCAGCGTTAATTAACTCACCACAAAGACATCTCCGGTGCTGACATCTTTATCTACAACGAACCAAGCATCCTTCAGGCCTGCTAGTCTAGCCCTTTGGCCTATTGTGTAGAGGAACCAACCTAAAGAAATAGGAAAATATAATGCAGCTGGCAACATTTAATCTTTTACTTTCAGAAAATATGTTAAAGTAATTTTCCCCAAACCCCAATGCTAAACAAAGAACAACGAACCAAGTTGTCTTAGAGAAGTGTGGCAATCATAAACTAAACTGACGTCTGCTTGGAAGTTTTCATCTGTACCTGAAGCACAGGATTTTAAAATAACCCATTTTAACTGTGGTATTCTTAAGAGTTTATAAAAGACAAACATCTATTTCAACTTCAATTTGTGGTTTTGCTACCACTAGGTCTTACCAGTTTCCCTCACTTTTATGTACTTTTACACTAGAACATCCTACCTCCATAAATTACTTGGGAGAAGACCTCAGTTCTGGCAGCCAAAACTGAGGAGAGCAAGGGAAGGACACGCAGAAGGAAAGGAAAAGGGAAGCTGCCCATGTCTGGTGATGTCCTACTGCACATCACTGAGGTGCACCTTGTATTTTTTCTGCAAAGTTTAGGTACTAAGGAATCTGACACCAAAGCACAGTCATTTTCAAAGAATTAAACGAACAGTGGTCTATCAGTATTAAATTAGCAACCACTTACTATCAACAGAGTAACCCTAATAATTAGAATTTACTTTCTTGTAACATGGAACAAATAGTCAATAATCTGTTGTGGTTCCAAGGCTCTACTGTTGTATAAACCAAGTTTTCCATGCTTATCAAACCGGAGAAAAAAAAAGTAGACTGGTTTGGAATTTCCCAGAATTTGTCCCTCCAAATACAAGCACTATTGTTTCATTTATCCAAAAGCAGTGATTAAGGTAGGTTAGCCAATTACCTTTGTGAGTTCCCATCACCTTCTTATCTTCAATGGAAACAAAGTTACCCGGTTGAGGTTCTAAATACTACCAAATAGAAAGAGATTGTTTAAGTCATGAGATGGCCCAAAAAACCCTTACAGTATATTTCAGGTTCTGTCACTACATTCCCTTGAAGACAGAAAACAACTTTTCAAGAAGCAAACTCCGCCCAGGCAGCTTCCTGCCTCTGCCCTGACGCTGTTGTAGAGAGAAAAGTAGGAAGGGCAGTCCCTACGTGCAGCAATTCCAGGCTTCGCTCCCCCCATCCTCACTTACGCCAGGAGACAGCAGGATCCAGCCATCTGCCCCTCTCGCATCCCAACCGCTTAGCAGAGCCTGGCAGGCACAGGAGGGCGAGTTCACACACTCCTTTTAAAGGCTACAGGGAGTAACTGTTCAGTGGCAGAGGGGCAAGATACTTCCTACAGGCTGTTGGCATCAGCTTCTGGGTAGGCTTGGGACTGCAAAGCCTCGCTACTTGCCGTGGGCGATGTTTTCGGCAGGCAGCATTCTAAATCACTACTGAACACCAGAACAGCACGTAAAGGTTGTCCTAGACTGAATGTTGCTCACCTCAAGAAGGAAATTTTCAAAGTTTCTTTCACCAATGAAACAGACTCCCATACTCTGAAAAGGAAACGTGGTATTGAATCCATAAAAGCAGAGGAAAAACATTTGAAATAATGTCTATTAATAGTCCAAAATGGACTTTTTTTCCCCATGTATCCCAAACCACACCAGTCATCTAATAAAATAAACAAAACCACAACGTCTGCTCCAAACAGATCAACTAATTCTACACAGTATCAGCGAGAGCTGTAAGCACAGAAAAGACAAATAACAGGAAAGAGAAGACGTGTAATAAATAAATACATTTATCTTGGTGTGTATATTGTATGCATATTAAAAATAGAAGTCTCCTTCAGATTAAAGTACAAAAGTAATGCAAATTATACAGCTATGGTCTATCTCTTGAAAAAACCTTCAAAAATAAAGAGAGTTTTCTTTTCCTTTCAGTTACTGCCTACATTCTTCCAACACTTATTTACAGTGGAGAAATATAAATACTGAAAGCAATCAAGATCAGCAAAACAACTGCTGCCTGCATTACATTCTTTAGGATCAACTCATGATGTGTGAGTTCTCAGAGAAACAGAACTTTTTGGTTTTTTTAAAGAGCAACTGCAGAAAACCAGTATGATCCAATTTTTACACAGACACTGAAAAACAATTACAGTGAGAAAGACTTTAAAAGTTATGGAAAACAAAGGCCAAAGGCGTCTCACTTGCTGGTGACAGAGAATTAAAGTTCACATCAGCCTAACACAACCACCTTAGTTCTTGTGAGGTACAATGGCAGACAAATTAGGTGCAAGCTAAAATACACAACTAACCACAATTTCATGAAAATACTTTTAAGCAAGCAGACCACTATAAAACTATTTCCCCATCTATTCTATCATGGTGCTCAGGAACAGATGAGTTGTTACAGATTAAAGTTGAAAACAGTTCAGGAAAGTCTATTTTAGAGAGAAGTACAAATCAAAAGAGTTTAAGTGTTACCATGCCTCTTTTTTCTTTAGCACGTGATGAAGGCTGTGTTCCGCCGCTATCTTCTTTACAAAATTTTTTGTTAAATCCCCTAAGGGGAAAATGGTTTTCCTCAAAGCATCCTGTGAGATCTGACTTAGAAAGAAGGTCTGGTCCTTGAAGAGGTCAGCTCCTTGAAGGAGTTTCACAGCTGCAAAGTGCAAAACACATAAAGCATCTCAACAAAACCCGCTTTAATAGTTCAACTCCCTTTAGTGTCCTGTTTGACAATGAACATTTTAGTTTTATTTCTTCCAAATATAGGTCAAAACCAGCATTTTTCAGGTTTTTCAAAATCTAATTGAAAAACTTTGAGTATCTTCTCACCATTATAAAGATCTAGAAAGATACACAGTGCAGAATTTTACAAAGTCTTATGTCACGTCATCTACTACAATACTGCAGCTGTCATTAGCAAGATCAAAAAAATGAAAAACTAAAAAAACTTTCACATTTCATGTGAAAGAGAGAATAAAGGTTCGAGTATTTTAAGAGCATGCTGTTGAAAACACATTGGTTTGTCCTGAAATTGCATTGCTATACATCAGTGATTTGAACCATGAGAAGAGATTATTCTCAATGCTCAGAGAGGAAAATTTGACTTTTTTCTTTCAAAGAGACAATGTCTCCTGATTGCCCAGATGAAATAAAATGGCTATAGTCTTTCAGTCATGTTCTCTCCAGTCTCTTTAAGAGTCAAGAGCTCTGCTGTTGTACAAACTCTGCTTATGTGGTTTTTGACTGAAACACACACCAACTACAGGCCAATAGTTCTGCCACAACTAATAATACAAAATCTGAGCAACAGGACAGGAAGCCTGTTTAGAACATCACAAAACAACTGTGAATCTCAGCCTGTCGTAAGCCACGGGAGCCATTTCAACTTCCAAGAAATAAAATTAAAGCAAAGAAACAAAAAAATGCCTTTAAGTCCAGAACAAACAAATCAAAGCAGGGAAGCTGTAACACAAAAACATCACTGCGGCAACTCTGCACGGTGGTAGTCTGCAAGTTCCCTTCCCTTTGGATATAACCTCCTCCTCGTTATTCACCAGAACTTCATCTGAGTTCCTTTACAGCATCATGTATCACTGCAGAGCTATCGCTGAAATCCCTACACTGCTCTCCAAGCTGTAATAGTGTCAGGAGACCTTCCTGCAGCATTTCAACACTGAAAGGGCACCTATAACAACGATGGGGACCATCTTTATCAGAGGGTCTACTGCAACAGGACCAGGGTAATGGTTTTAAAGTAAAGGAGGGTAGATTCAGGTATAAGGAAGAAAATTTTTACCCTGAGGGTGGTGAAACACTGGAAGAGGTTGCCCAGGGAGGTGGTGGAGGCTCCATCCCTGGATGCACTTGATGGGGCTCTGAGCAACCTGATCTACTCAAAGATGTCCCTGCTCACTGCAGGGGGGTTGCACTAGGTGACCTTTAAAGGGCCCTTCCAATCCAAAGCATTCTAAGACTCTATTATTCTAAATACTAAATGGCCAAAAAGTACATTCCCCATAACACAAGAAACATTTAAAAATAAAATTTTATCCGAGTCATGGAAATAGTTAATAAAAACTTCTCCAGGGTACAGAAGACAGCCCTGACTCCTTAATCCACATTATAGCTCCTCCGGAACACTGATTACCACTGAAATGCTTGTTCTTAACTCATCACCTGGATTAGAACTCTTAAAGCAGAAAATGCCATACTTTACTTGTCACAGTAGTTTTGGCTAATGCACATCCCATTCTGTACAATGAACCAGCTACAAAGGCTGGGGTTTAAATGGTAGTCATTGTGTGTAAGGTAACAAACTCCCCTGATTCTGTGACACCAAATACAGTTTAAATTTCTCTTTCATATCTAGGATGAAACAAAAAATGAAGGAACCACTTACTATTTCTAACTTCAAAACGGTTTCGGAAAAGTCTTTGTGGTCTTTTAATATGCTTCTGCTGAAACACTTCCTCATCCTCTAGGGAGGTCCTAGCATAATGCCCAGTAGCGATTGCATCTGCTCCTATCAAGAAAAACAAAAGACACACGCACATGCTTGAAATTCATAGTTTAAAATAGGGTTGTAAACAACACAGAAGAAAAGCAGAAAGCAAAGAAGGAAGAAAATTTCTAGAGAAGTCTTATACTGACAATAATCGTCCTCCTGCTATCTATATAATAAACGTAATAATAATGAATACATCAGCACGCCAGCACTTGTGTTTCTGTACTTTAAGGACAACTTTAGGATGTAAAACTTAATGGCCCGCTCGATGTATTTCCCTGAATTAAATCTGCTCCTGCATATGAGCAACTTAACCCAGTGGAAGACGTCCCTGGGGCTGGATCAGCTGACTTTTAAAGGTCCTTTCTAACCTGACCTATTCTGCAATTCTACATGTAAAAACAAACTTAAAACCAAATACTCTGCAAATATTGAAATACTGCCACAGAGATACGTGCACTAGGCATGCATACAAACTCATGTTTTTCCCCACCTTTTCAAGAGTTTGCACCCTTTAAGCATTTCCAGGACACACTCTGTACCGACACACCCGAAAATGCCTTACCAAGGTTATCCATAGCATAATGGAGAAAGTAGTTGAATTTGATGTGCTTGTTACACACGATATCAGGATTAGGAGTCCTTCCCAACTCATATTCTTTCAAGAGGTCACTGTAAAATAAAGATTCAAACGTGTATCAAAATTACTAACACTGCAAAATACCATTCAAGACTGAATGATGTGTTTAAACGTGAAAACTTGAGACCCAGTCACACTATCTTATGTAAGAAATAAAATATCCATTCGACTTTGACCTGTAAAAAATGTTTTGAAAATTTTCTCCAAAATGCACAGGTGACACAGTAAAACGATCACTCACTGCAACTGTGTCTTAGTAGATTAATATTCCTTCAGGAATGTCTGCCCACTGTGCACATCCTACTCAACTCTTAGGAAATACTCACTTTCAGATTTAAACAATCCTGTTTAACTTTTCAAGGTGACAGTGCAGTGGAGCACACCGCAGGAGTTACTGTGTCTCAGCTGAACGGACAACAACTTAATCTGCAATAATGCCATTGTAACTAGTCATGGGGCTTAATTTTATAGAGACTTTTTCCTGATTTTTTTTTCTTCAAGAAATTCAAGTATTTCTCACTATCCTTCTCTGATTTGTTCTTTAATAAATTTAACTAATTTCCCCAAAATCAAGTCAGTTTTGCCCAGGACACTAGATGTGGGTGATCTCCCTGTCCTTATCTCAATCCATGGGCCCTCTGATATATCCTCTCCCCCGTCTAGCAGAGAAGGGGGTGTGATAGAGCGGCTGTGTGGGCACCTGGTCAAATCACTGCACTGTCTCAGCACTGTGCTCCCATGATTAAAAAATACGCCTTTGTAAGTACCACAAGAATACACGGGATAGACTGAACACAGAGCCAGGCTCACTTCAGTTCAGCACTTCAAGTACAGCGCAGAACTGGAGAGCAGGCAATGAAGGATGCCTGTGAAGCTCTCTCTGATCTAAAGATCTGAAACAGACTTTGTACAACCCATGGGAAAGACAAGACCTGGAAGAGCTCTCTCGACAAAAGGTGTCTTTTTGATGAATGACCCCTTAAAGAGATATCCAGAGGAGGAGTAAATTCAAAGCTCAGTGATGACAGTAAAGTGAAAAGGATTCTGGAATAAACCGTTACACTTGCAGGGAACACTGTACTAGTAAATGATGAGAAGCAAAAGAAAAGCTGATCTTCTATGATCTTCGATTCACTGTCATTTACAGACACCCCATCCCTCAAGAGTTTTGATAACATTTATTCATTCTCTCATACCAGGAGGAAATAATGGAGTGAAATTTCCCAGAACACGTCATTTCAATGTGAAATGGATGTAGCATGATTAGGTTATTCCTCAGTTCTTCTAAGACTACATAACAACAGCACTACAAGATAAGGAACAACTTTTATGTACTTATGTTGAGTGCATAAAAGATAAATTATGTTGTTCCACCAATACTTTCCTTCTCCTGCCTCCCAAGAAAAACTCTCAGCTTTTTCTATATAGAACTCTCTTCCCTTAAAGTGTAACAAATTCACACAGAAAATCTGAACATCCTTTTTAGAGAAGAGTTTCACATTTATTGTGCATTTAGAGAAGCAAGGCTAGTTCAAAACCATTTCACAGAATGTGTTGGGCTGGAAAGGACCTTTAAAGGTCATTGAGCTCACCTCCTCTGCAGTGAGCAGGGACATCTTTAACTAGATCAGGTTGCTCAGAGCTCATTTCATGGTAAACTGGATTCAGTATATATTGATGTAAAATTCACTGCACAAATTACGCACAGACATTAATAGCACCCCATTAAATGTTTTTTTCTCAAGTTGCAATAAAGTTGGGTCAGTATGTGGGAAGCAGAAGAAATCAGTCACAATAAAGCAATTCTTACACACTTACAATAGCTAAGGAGAAATCTCCTATTAATTTTAAAAATAACAAACAAATTAAAATCAACATATAAATTCTGACATTAACTATGAATGAGAGCAAAAACAATTCCTCCCGTCTTTAAAAGGCTTCAGTGCTTTCTCTTAGTATTCATAACACTGCAGTAAATCACCTTTGCCCATTAATCACCCATCCTCACGTTTTGCAGTAACATGGCACTATACCAACATACTATTTTAAAGATGTTTCTACCTGAATACTTCATTCCAGTATTCTTTCACGTACGAAACCTGGTGAAAAGGAATATCAAGCTTCTGGCAAACCCGGTAAGCATCTTCACAGTCTCTGTCAATGGAGCAAGCTCCTTGTTCATCCAGAGGGTCCCAGTTCTTCATGAAGACACCTGTCACCTGGTAGCCTATGAAATGAAGGTAAGAATGACTTCCAAAGTGAAATTCCTATGGCTTCAACCCCAAACCTGTGTTTTCCAACATTGTATAACTGTTTCTTTCAGATGTGTGTAATCCTGTACTAAGCAGGCTCCGGTGAAGTTTCCATAGAATCATAGAATGGCTTGAGCTGGAAGGGACCTTAAAGTTCACCTAGTTCCAAACTTCCCACCATGGGCAGGGACACCTGCCGCCCCTAGGTTGCTGTCCCTGTTGCCTGCCTTCTAGACCAGGTTGCTCCAACCCCCATCCGACCTGGCCCTGAAGATTTCCAGGGACGGGGTGTCCAGTTTCTCTGGGCAACCTGTTCCAGTGTCTCCCCATGCTAACCTAAATCTGCGCTACTTTAGTTTAAATCTATTGCCCCTTCTCCTATCACCACAAGCCCTTGCAAAGAGACCCTCCCCAGCCTTCCCAGCCCCCTTCAGGTACTGGAAGGCTGCTGTAAGGTCTCCCTGGAGCCTTCCCTCCTTGAGGCTGAGCGGCCCCAACTCCCTCAAAACGCAGGACCGAGGCTCCTACCTGTGGTCACCTTTGCAGCCTCCTCTGGACTCTCTCCTTAGAGTTCCTGTAGGATTTTTTATTTTTTGTTACAGCTAACGTAAACCCAAGCTCTTCTGGCAACCAA